TTGAATTATATTCTGAAAAGTTTACTATTTTAAAATAATTTTTGTGCATTGCTATGCTAAATTTTAAGATCTGTTGGCAGTGATACAGTAACATTCTTTGATAAAATTGCCTTTATGCTTACTGAAAATATTTTGTTTATATTTTGTAATTAATTAAAAGTACTGTAAAAAGAGTATTTAATAATTTTTTTTTCAAACATAACATTTTATTTGACGCAAAAAACTTTTCAATAGAAATTGCATCAGAAATTTGAAAAGAGCTAAGAAATTTAAGTTTTTAGCAGACAAATAAATGTATATGGCATTATAACTCTCCCGCCCTCTCATCAGTCTTTTGAATAAATATTTTAAAATTTGCTTAATTATTTTTGCTTATTTTTTTTTGCCCCGCAAAGCCATATAAAATTAGAAATAAGTATACATTTTTTAAAGTAAGGAGATATAACTGGAAGGTCAAATATCTAGCAGTTGTAAAACATGCAAAATTATTTGTGAAAGTGACCTTTAACCTGAATTGTTCTGAATGCAACTATCTCTGAGGTAGTATTTTCAATTCAGATGAAACCACTACCACAGATGATTTTTACGGTGCTTACCTCTTGTAAGGCTGAGAAGTCAGTCAGACGAAGAGCAGAGCAGTGCCGTTTTTTGGCAGCTAGCTGCATGTAAACAATATTCTTTTCAAGTAAATAATTCAATGTTTTGCTAATTTCTGAAAATAAAATTATGACTGAAAGAGCAAATATTCCACTGCTTTCACTGATTATGAACTATGACCAGTACATTGGTTTAATCATAATTTGAATTAAAAAAATAATAAGCAAGAAAGTAATCTTATCAAATTCAGCACTTACCTTAAAAGTTCGAATTACGTGTGTGTACTTGTGATCAAGCGTGTAAACGTGAATAAATAAGTGCGTATATTTGTGTGCATGTGTGCTTGAGAATGAAAGTAAGAGGTGCAGGTGCACACAGGTATGCTTGAAAATAATTCATAGTTTCGCTGTGCAATCGCCAGGTGGAATGCATCCATCGATTGACGATGACAAGACGGGTTTTGCCCTGCATTCGACACTCTCGCAACTCACCTGCGATCACACCTGTCCCCTCCTCCTTCTTTCTTCACTTACATTACCAAACTTGTCTGACGTGACCCTACGTGACCCTTTTATCATTTTTATCGAACGAAACTATCACATAAAATATTTATTCATTTTAATCTTATCCCAACACCTTATAGATACCATTCTCATAATTAATACAAACATTTAATTACATTTCATTCCATTTCCTTACATAATTATTTGCTCGTTTAACATATCACACTGTAGTATTACTCAGTTTATAGCTCACATTTATTCATTATAATTCATACAGTTATTTTATTTTATTCTTCTTTTAATAAAATTAAATGGACAAAATTTATTTGAAGTTATTTTTATTAAAATTTTTGAGTTTAATTCAATATTAATCAAATGGCATGCATTCAAGTACGTCTGTAGTACGTCTTCTGCGATTTTTCCACATCCAAATCAAATACTTCTATTCCCGCGAATTAAAAAAATAGAATACATGGCAGATAAATTGTGATGCATTCTTTTAGTGAAGATTATCTAATTTGACGTGTAATAGAATAAATTAGTCCAAGGTCATCTGGTCACGTTGAAACT